AATTATACTCGGTTTTGTTGGGTAGGTGATTCTTGGTTGTAATCCTATCTCCTTTGCCCTCTGGAATATTATATTCCATGCCCTGCGGTCCCTTAATGTAGAAGCTGCTAAATTTTGTGTCATCCTGATTGTGTTTCCACAATACTTGAATTGTTTCTTTCTGGCTGCTTGTAATATTTTCTCCTTGACCTGGGAGCTCTGGAATTTGGCTACAATATTCCTAGGAGTTTTCCTTTGGGGATCTCTTTCAGGAGGAGATTGGTGGATTCTTTCAATTTCTATTTTGCCCTCTGGTTCTAAAATATCAGGGCAGTTTTCCCTGATAATTTCTTGAAAGATGATGTCTAGGCTCTTTTTTTGATCATGGCTTTCAGATAGTCCAATAATTTTTAAATTCTCTCTCCTGGATCTATTTTCCAGGTCAGTTGTTTTTCCAATGAGATATTTCACATTGTTTTCTAATTTTTCATTCTTTTGGATTTGTTTTACAGTGTCTTGATTTCTCATAAAGTCACTAGCTCCCAATTGCTCTATTCTAATTTTTAAGGAAGTATTTTCTTCAGTAAGCTTTTGGACTTCCTTTTCCATTTGGTCAATTTTGCTTTTTAGGGCATTCTTCTCCTCATTGGCTTTTTGGACCTCTTTAGCCATTTGGGTTAGGCTATTTTTTTAAGGTGTTATTTTCTTCAGTATTTTTTTGGGTCTCCTTTAGCAAGCTGTTAACTTGCTTTTCATGATTTTCTTGCATCACTCTCATTTCTCTTCCCCATTTTTCCTCTACTTCTCTTACTTGCTTCTCAAAATTCCTTTTGAGCTCTTCCAAGGCCTGGGACTGATTCATATTTTTCTTGGAGGCTTTGGATGTAGGAGCTTTGACTTTGTTGTCTTCTTCTGGTTGTATGTTTTGATCTTCTTTGTCACCAAAGAAAGATTCTATGGTCTGACTTTTTTTGTGCAGTTTGCTCATGCTCCCAGCCAATTACTTGAATTTTAAACTCGTTGTTAAGGTAGGGATCTGCTTCCAGTGTGGAGAAGGTACTGTTCCAAGCTTCAGGGGTTTTGTGCAACTGTTTTCAGAGATACTTCTAGGGACCTGAAAATTTTCAGTTCTTCCAAGGTGCTATGATAAGGGGCGAGGTGTTTCCTCTCCACTGCCACAACAAGCTCCACCACCTCCTTGCCCCAGGACCGCCCCTCAGAACTGTGACCCAGATCCAAGCACAGGCAAAGTAAGAGATTCCTGCACCAGCCCTGGCAAAGAGATCCTTGCAATCCCCCTCTGATCAGCCACTAGACTCCCCCTCAGTCTGTGGGCTGGAAGCTCAGGAAACAGCCACAGCCCACACTCGGGACTTGCGGCTGAGACCTAGCTTCTTCTCTCACCGCAGTCACAGACTTTTCCCACTGACCTTCTAAGTTGTCTTTAGCATTCGTGGGTTAAGAAGTCTGGAAACTGCCACAGCTGCCCACAATTCAGTCCTCTGAGGCCTGCTCCAGGCAAGCTGCAGTGTGCATGCCCACGCCGAACTGCGCTCCTTTCCCAGCCTGGCACAATATACCTTTCCAATCAGCCATCCAGGTTGTCTTGGGCTGGAAATTTGTTTTACTCTGTTTTTTTGTGGGTTCTGCTGCTTTAGAATTTGTTTAGAGCCATTTTTTATAGGTATTTGGAAGGGTTTGGGGAAGAGCTCAAACAAGTCACTGCTTTCCCTCTGCCATCTTGGCACCACCACTCCCCTCTCGTCCTAGTTTAGAATTATATCACGTTCATGCTGTTCAATTACATCGTTCTGTTCTAAGGTTCTAACAAAAGTGTGTGTGTGTGTGTGTGTGTGTGTGTGTGTGTATACGCGTGCTCACTGTCAATGTTTGTCTGAGGTATTTTTTCTTTTGTCTGCTTTTAAGGGCTCTTTTTAAAAAACATGAACACACAACTGTTGGTCCTTATGTGATGCAGCAGCGCACAGCAAGTAAAGACCAATGACAAAGCAGCACTTTAAAGCCCCTGAATAATTCATATGTATCAAATTAACTGAATTTTGACTTGCATTAAGTGTTAACCAGTATCATTTTATAATCCTCACCAAAAACAATTTTACACTTTTTTTTAACTCAAGTTAATCATGACTGAGCTGAACTGGTGCCTTGTGTGGGTTTAGCCCAGTTCTTGAGAATCCATATCTGACTTTAAATCCCTGTCACAAGCCCTTAGGTTGCTACAGGCTAGAGAGAGAAAATCTTGGAAGACAGAGATCCGAAATGGTCGCTACTTCAGACTAGCGGATTTGTGCCTCCTGCTCATCTAAGCCCAGGGAGTCAGGTTTGACATCTCCCAGATTGAGAATCCCTTCCCCCACTGCCTCTCCATTCTTTTTCCCCACTCTTCTCATTCCCCTTTCCTCTGCAAATACTGTCCATGAACAACATCCTCTCAGCCTCTCTCTCTTCCTCTTAAACTCTTTTCTGTCTTACAGTATTCATAGAATCTTGACGGTCTGGAAGATATTGCAATGCTTGTCGCCTTCCCTGGTGACCACGTCCAGTGAGCTGGCCAGGAGTAAGAGTTGGCAAGCTTCTTGCTCCCCTTTGACCATTCTGGACACTACCATCACCAAACACCATATTTCTTTCTTTTAGGTTCATCATCTGGTTCAGATCCCTCCTCTTTCTTCCCCCCTTCCCCTCTTTCACAATACTCCAGTAATTAATGTCTATCCTAAAATGACTTTGCATATCATAGGCTTATATTTCTATATGGTAGAATGGAAGCTCCTCAAGGGTAGGAATAGTTTTTTGTCTTCCTAGTACCTTGTATAATGCCTGGCAAATTAATGCTCGTTGAACTGAATTCATATATTTTTCTCTGAGTTTAATCTTTTGCCTTTCTCTCCCTCTGCCTCACTCCTCCTAAATCCATCTTTCATTCTCACTGCAACGTCTAATTCCTCCATCTGTCCCTGTTTTTCTAATCGATCATTCCTGTGCTGACCTCAATTTCTTCTCTTTGCAGTCTTGGCCCTAGAGTTGACCAACTCTACACTGCCTCACCCTTGAACCCCAACCCCCCTCCCCCTCCCCCACCTCCACCTCCCTGTCCTGTTGCTGTTCATGCTGTGGCAGGCATCATGCCCATTCTTCCACACCACTCTTCCTCCTGAGCTGCTAAATGCCGCCAGAGATTCACGGCTTCACTTAGCAGATGGTCTCCTCTGTCCTGAATAGGCCCTCACTGGAGCAGGTCAGCTTTTACTAGTCCTGGATTGATTCTCTATCTTGCTCTTCTCTGTAGTTGTTCCAAACCTTCTTTCTCTCTCAGCAGATGATGCTGTACTCCTATGTCACTGAGAAAACAGACTCCATTCACCCAATGCTCCTTTTCTCTCTTCTCACTACATACACGAACAGAACATTCTTCTACATCTTTATTCATTACCTTCCTCTTCCCTTCTGGCTCTGGGGAATGAGTGGTTCTCCTTCTCACTAAGGCCAGACCCTGTATCTATGTCTATGGATACAATGCCACCCTGAATCTTTCAACAGACAGCCCCATGGAGCATCTCATACTCCATCCCCCTCCTCATCCCCATTCAATCAATTTCTGTCTCTCTCTCTTCCTATTGCCCAAGAACACGAAAAGAGCCAATAAAGACTGAAAATGGGACAACCCTTCGAGAACAAAATCCTTTCCTGACTCTGCTATCCCACCAATTTATCACCCTCTTTCTTTTATCCCTTTCACTGCCAAACTCCAAGAAGTATAGCCTCTGTTTGCTGCTTCCCCTCACTCACTGCCTACTCACTTTTCCAAGTTTTGCAATCTGGATTTTGGCCTACCACTGGTCAAACTCCACTTTCTCCAAGACTACTGATCCTCTCGAATGATAATGGCCTCTTCCCAGACCTCACCTTCCTTGGCCTCTCTGTACCTCAGGACACTGAGGATCATTCTCTGAGGGCCCTTCTCTTAGCTTTTGCAACGTGTTTCTCACCTGGTTCTCTTACTTCTTTCATCTTCCATTGGAGTACCCAAATCCTGCCTCTTCAGTAATGCACGGGCCTCAGGGCAGGTCAGACTTGCCCAGGGTCACACAGCTAAGTGTCTGAGGCAGTTTTCCTAACTCCAGACCCATTGCACTATCTACTAATTGGTGCAATTAGCCTAAGAGCATATCAATCCTTTGAGGGCAGGGCTTCTTGGATTCTTCTTTGTATTATCCCATTGTCTAGTACAGTGCTTTGCACAGAGTAAGTGTTTAATAAAGGTTGGCTGAATTGAACTGAATTCTCCTGCTTTTCCTACCTCCCCTGAATCTGTCCAACTCTCCTCAGAGCAAAGAGCTTAATGCAATAAGGCAGAAAGAGGAGTGGGGGCGATGGGAGGAGAACATGGAAGGGAAAAGAAAGGCCAGAGCAATAAAGACCAAAAGGAGAAGAGAAAAGCCACAAGCCCCATTTATCTCCAATTCTCTCCCCACCATTTCGTACAGGGGTAGTGGCCTTAAGGCCACAGGTTGAGGTGCCAGGAGTGGGGAGGCACGGAGGGGGAGGAGGGGAGAGAGAAGAAAAGCAGCTTGCAAGAAGCAAAGTCGTGACGAATAACCAGAAAGCGGCATGCCGGCATTTGATGAGTGCCGAGCCCTACGCACTGGAGATTCTATTATTTTCCATAGCATGAAAAGCCATTCAGTGAGAGTGAGCATTAAAATGCATGTGTCAACCTCAGAGCATGATGTCATGTTTTTGTATCGACTTAAAAGCTGCTGTTGCTTCAGGCAGTATTATCTATCTGAAGAAAAAGGAAGAAGAAACAACTCTTCCACTAGCTAGAAAATTATATCTTAAGAAGCCAAATGAAAACGTCATTTTGCTTAATGCTAGTTATAAAATTAAGAGCTTTATCAATACTTTTGGCAACTGTTTAAATGCAACAGAAAATTCTCTCCAATCATCTCACAGGCTCCTGATGGGTATAGAAAACCACAGGAAAGAAGTCCATTTACCATTGACATGCGAAGCACTTGCTACATCCCAGGGCCCAGTGTCACTGTAGCAGCAGATGACAGAAGGTTTCTTTAAAACTTCAAGGTGCTTTGGATTTTCTCAAGGTGAATTTCCTTTCTTTTTTGTCTTATTCTTTGTGTTGCTTTATCAGGAAAACAATGTTTTCTGGAAGACAAAAGGAAGAAAACAGCTCTCTGTGTTCAAATGCGATTTTCACATATAAGCTACTCTAATTTTTCTTCACAGAATGCCCCAGTGGGCAGCATCCTTAGAGATCAACACTCTCATTTTATAGAGGAGAAAACTGAGAAGCAGAGAGAGCACCAGTGCAAGGTCACAAAGAATTACAGAATGCTATTACAAGAGATAACCTGTGTAAAGTGGGCTGTAAACCTTAAAGCTACATAAATGCCGGCCAGGATGATCATCCCGTCGTCACCCCTAGAAGGTTTGTCACATCATCTTGTCCAGCTCTGGGGCCTGAAATGCGATTTTCTGTGTTCATACAGACACTCATTAGACTCCAAACCTTGAGAAAAACAATTTCCTGAAATGCCCACTTATTAATGCAATTCATTTCAGACGCTCAGCTCCTACGTCAGGAACTCAGAATGCTTCAGAGGCTGGATTGCCAAGGGTAAAGGAGCAGCATTGGGACTTTCCAGTGTCTGGGTCCCAGGCTTAACCTCCTCATCTTCCCAGAGCTGGTTTCACCAGATGTGCTTCAGCATTAATCTTTTCAGAGATCACTGAACAAGGGGATTTTTCCCCCAATGTTATAAAAATGACAAGCAGGAAGGCAGCCACAACATTCATTTTTGGAATATTTTCCCCAAGCTTTTCCCCCTGAGCTACAAAAACCGATGCTAACAAATGTAAGTTTTTCTAGCTAACTTCTGATCTGAAGTTAGACTACAATATGCTTCAATACTTCAAGGATTTGTGATTCAATCAGTTCTAAAAAATCCAGAAGTGGAGACATTTCAATCCCTTTATACTATACTGGAAGACAGCCTCTAGAGTCAGTGTTCAAAACTGTGGCCAGCCACATTCATTATAGAGTGGCCATTCCTTTGGGCACGGGCATCTCTGCACCCAGGTGGGCTCATCTCCAATTAAAGACATAGCTTATTGTTTGGATTGTCCTCCCAGACTTTGCAGGATTGGGTAGGATTGGGCAGACCTTTGCTGAATTACTCCTGCAGCCTTTCAGAATTCTACCCTGAGTCACTCCATACCAGGATGAGACCCTGGACTCTGATGAACCTGTGATCTCACTGATTTTGGTGTTCTCCTCAACTGTGCAGACTGCAATCTGTCTTCCATCTCTGCTCTTCTAGAACTCCCTGACCCGACTTGCTGGGGGCCCTTCCTCCAGACCTATTGGCATTACATGGAGACAAATGAAACATGCGGTCAGCAGCCTATCATACCTTGCTATGGATAAATAGTCAAATTTCTCTGTGATGACAGCTTTTTCCAGGCTTTTGATATGCAAATCTTTACTAGTAACATACTATAATCTACTCACACCCACTACACATCTCCCTTTACCCAAACTACCATGGCACTCAGGGGGATTTATGGCTAGGTGATAGAGTGGATGGAGAGTCTGGCCTGAAATCAGGAAGACTCATCTTCTTGAGTTCAAATCCTGCCTCAGACACTTACTGGCTGTGTGGCCCTGAGCAAGTCACTTAACCCCATTTGTCTCAGTTCTTCATCTGTAAAATGAGCTGGAGAAAGAAATGGCAAAGCACTCCAATATCTCTGCCAAGGAAACCCCAAGTGGGGTTATAGAGTCAGATATGACTGGAATGACTTAACAACAGCAACAAAAATTTTGTACGTGCACAATTTTTTAAAAAGCACCTTTAGATATTACTAAGCCATCCTTCATTTTCACTCTTCCTCCCTCAAAGCTATGAGTAGTACCACTTCATTCCCAGGGCATCTGCCCATCCTGCTTTGCATCACTCATAATGAACATAAGCAAAAAGACTGCCATGAAGGCCATGTCAGGTTCTGCAGTCAGCTCCGGGATTTTGTGACTCTCCAAGGATGTTGGCCTAAGATCTCAAGGAAGATTTGGTAATAGAACCCAGGATTCCTGCTTCTCAGGCTACTGCTTGTTCCATTATACTAGAATTTTTTTTCTACCCTTGCAATACAACTCCTTGCCCTTCCAAGGGGAAAATTAAAAACAATATTGAGATATTTTCCCATTGGAGTCTTTATTCATTTCAAATGAATGAACTCTTGATTGCAGCAGAAAAGCTAGTATATTTATACCTCTCTAGCTTCTTTGATTAAACTCTCAGGAGCTCGGCTCTCAGGACCCAGGCTGCTGCCCAGTTGTTCTCTGGATTACGAAGGTGAGTAATTCATCATGGTCTATCGCCATGATGTGATTGCACACCCTTCCTCCCATAATGGAACAGCCTTTCAACCACTGCGGGATAGGTGTGGTTTGGCAATCCAGCTCAGGCGCTTCATTAGTTATTCAGGTTCCTGTGAGTCAAAAAGAAGCGCTCTCCTAGAACAGAAAGGAAACTGGATCTGGAGCCACGGGACCTGGGTTTGAATTCTTTGACATAGACTAGTTGTGTGACCAGGACTAACCTTTGTGAGCCCTACCATCCTTATGTGTAAAAGGACAAACATTAGCCTGTCCATTCATCTCACAGCATTACTGTGAGACTTAAAGGTGACAACGTGTGTGACAAAGGCCACTGTAAACTTCCAAGTTTCACACAAAATCACCATCACTATTGCCCTATCAAGTGATTTGGGGCTAAGGCACTAGGTTTCCTTGTTTCCTACTGTCATAATGAGGCCCAGAAATGGGAAACGCCCTTTATGTTCATGTAGCTGGGATTGTATAAGGAGAAAAATTATTTAGCAAGATGAATATAACATCAACTTATTTCAGTGATGGATCTATGTTCAAACAGCATGGCTCAGAGTGCTGAAATGACGTATTTTGAAAACCCTCTGGTTGACACAGTCATATGACACGAAAGAGATGTGGACTCCACAACCCCTGCTCTGGGTCACTGATTAACGGCACACACATAGGGTTAGGGGTGTGCAGGATTCTGATCCTTCCCCTTTGTGCTTGTTACCAAAAATCTTCACATGTATAACACCCCTTCCACAACTGAATTACGAAAGCCAAGCCAGTAAAGAGAGGCAGCCAAACACTTGTGAGCCATTTGAGACAATACGGAAAAGCAGCATGATGGTAAATCCATCCATCAACATCCAACAAGATGACGCATTATGAAGTCATAAATATCTCTGCCTAAGAAAGGACTAGCAGACGGATCAAAGCCTCTTTGGGGTTGAGTTTCAGTTAATGTACAGATTCTGCCCAAACCAAATCCAACTTTTATTTTGACTTGAGAGAGAATTTTTTTTTTCCTACACGTAAATGTAACAAGCTTCCTTCTCCTTTTTCTCCTGGATTACGTCCAAGTGTGTTGAACAAACATCACAGAAGCAAGGAGGCCGGGAAGGCTTGCCTTCAACATCTGTCTAAAAGTAGCAACATCCCTCCCCACTTCCCCAACTTTATGCAACAGCCTCTAGATGAGTCATAACCCCAGGCTTTTCCCTCCAGCCTCCACGGGGCAGGGCTTCATGTATTACAGACAGGTTCAATTCTGGAGGGATGGAAGGAAGAAAGGAAGGATGAATGGATGGATGGAAAGAAGAAAGGAAGGAAGGAAGGAAGGAGGGAAAGCAGGCTTCTGGAGAAAGAAAATGAATTGAAACTCAGCTTGAACTAACCACATATTCAGCACCAAACAGCAAAATGATGGCCTTCCCTATACTATAAAGCAAAAACACCAGTGCAAAAAAGACAGTAAGAGGAACAGAAGAGGTATGCCATACTTAGCAGCAGTCTTTTCTTCAGTAAGAAAGACTGAGAATTAAAGAATCTCAGAACTGGACAGGACTTCAAAGATCACGTAGTCGAACTGCCTTATTTGATAGGATCAGAAAAGGGAAGTAATTTGATAGAACCCAAGTCTCCTTTGACTATCCATCAATCAGTCATTCCACAGCCCACGGTCTTAGAGAGAATACACAAATTTCTCAGCTAGACAACGAAGGCTGTCCACAGTCTGGGTCCAACCAACCTCTCACCCTGCTCCTCTGGGTCTAGCTTACCTTTCAGCCAAATAACATTACTAACTGTTCTCTGAAATCGGACTTCCCTCTGCTGCCTTGGGGCACTTGCCAACCCATCTGTAAGGCCCACAAAGCCCACCCTCATCTCTGACTCTCAGAACCCCCATTTTCCTGCAAGGTTCAGCTTTGGTTCACCTCATCCATAAAGGCACAAAATCTTAAACCATGCTGCCCAGACTGCCCCTTAATTAGTGTTCTCCCCTCCCACCCCCAGAATGAATTTGCTTCTCAGGGCCCATTTAGTGCCCCTGCCCCCACAACGGCAAGCCCTTTGAAGAGGCTCTGTTCCATTTGAGGTCTTTGGATTCCTGGAGCATAGCACAGTACTTTGCAGATAACAGGCACTTAATACATATTTACTGAATTAAGTTGGGCACAAAGATTTATTGATTCAACCAGGATCTAAATGTTTCTATGGGATAAAATCATGCAGATGACAAAGCCCAACTATTAACCGCCCTAATGGGACTGTTTTCATGCACCTTTTGTAAAGGATATACAGTCAACAACAAATTACCTGTGACCAATTTTGTTCCTCCTTCCTGTCTTTCACAAACTACTGGAAAATGCAGAAAATGTAAAACAGATGAAGTAATGAGAAGTGAGACAAAAATCTGAGGGGCAATTATCGCCATGACTTTGACTAGATCTGAGAACAGCCTGGAGAAGTGAAATCGTAACGCCCCTGGCCGAATTCCAAGTGAAGAAAAACTTCCTTCCAGCTCAACACAAGCCTCCTTGGGCTCCCAGAGCTTGGTGCAGAGGAGGCATAGCCATTAAGCTTTCATTTTCTCAGTATGTAAAAATGCCTGGTTCTTCCCACACCTCCTGTTCTCCTGTCAGCCCCTCCTTCAAGCAGACACATGACTAACACAAAGTCATCTCCTCAAGGAACAAAATGCTTATTCAAAATAAGTCAGAAACTAAATGACCAAGTAACTTTGTGCAGACTTTGGAAACATTTTATG